TCTACAGCAGGCACAAACTGGGAGAAGGGAGAAGAGCCTTGCCTTTCAGACAGGTGGCAAATTTTGACTATCATACAGGACTGGATATTTTAATTACTAATTTCTCTTAACTAAGAGCGACCAGAAAACGGAATGGGACTGCCCAAGTTTTCACTCAGAGTTGGGAGAGGAACCACCCCCCACAGAGTGTTTTCACGGGGACAGTGGAAAATAAAAATTAAGTTGCCTTAAGTGAGTCCTGAAAGTCCTGCTTGTTCAATGTGCTGGAACACTGTTTTGTTGCACACTTACTTTGTTTTTTGGATCCTAGAGATATAAAGATGAATTGGATGACTTTCCTCCCTGCAAGAGTCTATGAACACAATAAAATATGATATATAGAGAAATATATATTAATGATAATATTAGAAGTAGTAAGTGTGAAAATTAAAGTGCTATAGTGAAAAAGAAAATGTGAGTAATTGATTTGGAGGGGTTGGGCGTAAGAAGGACATAGAACTGGAGAGAAGATGAAACCCAGCAGGGTTTGGGAGAGGAATGGGTATTCCCAAGGAGGCAGAGGAAGCTGCGTCAAGTGTAAGCAGTGGAGGCATGAATCAGCATGTTGGGTATGTGGGAGAACCGCAAGCAGTGTGAAGGGCGTGCGTATGCAGGTGAGCGATTTAAAGGGAGGCGAAATGGAGGCCAGAGGTATTGTGGAGGTTAGAGCAGAGCTGTTGGCAGTCTCACCAGTGGAGAGTTAAGGGAATTTTTTAAAAACACATGCACACACACTAAGGTGCCAGTCATTTCCTCCATCAATCATTTCTTTCCTCTCCTCACCTTTCTCTTTTATAAAATTTGCCAGTTTGTTAGAGAGCGCTGAGAGGGCAGTACGGGAACGCTTCTCCATCCCACTGCCCCCAGTGGGTTGCATCTGGCTCTGTGTCTGACTCAAGCTGAGTCAAACAGACTCTGCCTTCTAAGAATTTAAGTGAGAGCATTGAGAGACTGGGTCATATTTTTTTCCCCAGCTTTATTGAAGTATGATTGACAAATAAAAATCATATATATTTAAGGTGTACAGTGTGATGTTTTGATATATGTAAACATTGTGAAATGATTACCACAATCAAGCTAATTAACATATCCATATCACATAGTTACCATTTTTTGCGGTGTGGTGAGAACACTTTAAATCTACTCTCTTGGCAAATTCAAGTATACAACACATTATTATTAACTATAGTAGTCTTGCTGTATATTAGAGTTCCAGAACTTATTCATCTTATAACTGAAAGTTTGTACCCTTTGACCAGTATCTCCCCATTTCCCCCAACCCTCAGCCTCTGGTAACCACCCTTCTACTTGCTGTTGCTGTGAATTTGACTTTTTTAGATTCCACATAGAAGTGAGATCATGCAGTATGTGTCTTTCTGTGTCTGGCTTGTTTCACTTAGTATAATGTCCTCTAGGTTCATCCATGTTGTCACAAATAGCAGGATTTCCTTCTTTTTTGAGGCTGAATAATATTCCATTGTGTGTGGGTGTATATATCACATTTTCTTTATCCATTGGTCTGTCAACTAAGATTGTTTCCATATCTTGGCTACTGTGAATGATGCTGCAGTGAACATGGGAATGCGGATATCTCTTCGAGATAGTGATTTTATTCCCTTTAGACATATATGCAGAAGTTTGCTGGATCATATGGTAGTTCTATTTTTAATTGAGACTAGATCATTTAGATAAGAGTGTTGAACTTGTAAGGTCAAAGCCAAGGCCATTATTTGGGGGCAACCATTTGGGAGCCAGTAATGCAAAGTACAGCAGAACAAGCTGATCTGTAAGAGAAGCAGGTGAATGCAGCTAATGAAGAGAGAGAGAGAATCATAGACAATAGGCCATGGAGCCTCAGAGAGAAAGAGATGGAGTCAGTGGCTGTCATGGCTCTGACGGCTTTCTGGTCCCTTATTTCAGTTCCATCTTAGGTCCAGCTGCCACTTCCTGTTCTTGAGTTCCCTGCAGTGCTTCTGAGTCTAATCTATCCACCTCCACCCTAGTGGCTTGCTTTCTTTTTTTCCTTAGAACACACTGTAGTTGTGTGGCACACTGTAACTGTGCCTAATTGTGTTCTCGTCTTCTTCATGTTCTTGGCCTAATAAACCACATGCTTTCCACATTGGGAACACACACATATCTAGCCAAGGACACTTATTTAACTCACACAGCTCAGATGTAAAGGCAGAAATAAAGGAATTTCAAGAATGGCTTTCAAAACAATAGCCTGGATTTCAAGCCTATTGACTTGTTGCTTGAATTGACTTGAATTTCAGAAGCTGAATATTAATTCCTTCTTTCTTTCCATTCCTTTTGTAACTTCTAAATGGTGCCACACTCCCTATCCCCAAGGCAAACTGATTCCCCAGGCAGAGGAGGAAAAAAATCACATAAATCATTTTCAAAATATTACCCTAGCTACACAAGTATTGTGTGGGAATTTATGCGTTTGGGTGGAAGACAATTGTCTCTTTATTTTCTTCCAAATGGTCAGAAATAGTTTGGCTATTACAAATTTAATATTATTATTATTATTTTTTAAAATTTTATTTTTCCTTTTTCTCCCCAAAGCCCCCTGGTACATAGTTGTGTATTTTTAGTTGTAGGTCCTTCCAGTTGTGGCACGTGGGATGCCTCCTCAGCATGGCTTGATGAGCGGTGCCATGTCTGCACCCAGGATCCGAACTGGCAAAACCCTGGGCCACCAAAGTGGAGCATGCGAACTTAACCACTCGGACAGGAGCTGGCCCCAAATTTAGTATTTTTTAACACAATTAGTATAGTACATGTTTTATATCCATCCTTAATAATATTCTGGATTATGATTTCTTGTAAAATTATTTTTTGTTTTGTTTCTTTTTTTTGGTGAAGAAGATTGTCCCTGAGCTAACATCTGTTGTCAGTCTTCCTCCTTTTGCTTGAGGAAGATTGTCCCTGTGCTAACATCTCTGCTAGTCTTCCTCTAGTTATATGTGGGACACTGCCACAGCATGGCCTGATGAGCAGTGTGTAGGTCCACACCTGGGATATGAACCTGCAGATCCTGGGCCACCAAAGCGGAGTGCATGAACTTAACCACTATGCCACCAGGCAGGCCCTGTAAAATTATTTTTATCATTGTATCATTAAGCTATGATGTACACATGCAATCATCCCAAAAGGAATGAATAATTTGGTCTCTCTTTTTTTTTTTTGTCTTAAATAATTTAAAGCAATCTTTTTGATTTCTCCTGTCAAAGACCCATAGTACTGAATCATGTCACATTAAATTGACAAGTAAGGGGCCGGCTCCATGGCCGAGTGGTTAAGTTCGCACGCTCCGCTGTGGTGGCCCAGCGTTTGGATCCTGGGCGCGGACATGGCACCGCTCATCAGGCCACGTTGAGGTGGCATCCCACATCCCACAACTAGAAGGACCTGCAGCTAAGATATACAACTATGTACGGGGGGCTTTGAGGAGATAAAGCAGGAAAAAAAAAAAAAAAGATTGGCAACAGTTGTTAGCTCAGGTGCCAATCTTAAAAAAATAAATTGGCAAGTCATTTTAGTCTAGTCCATTATTCATGATGTGGAAGAGTATAGTGTAATGTGCCTGCTCTGGAGTCAGAGTCAATAGTTCCAAATCCTACCTCCCACACTAACTAGCTATGCGGTTTGGGCACATTCCTTATCCTCTCTAAGCACCACTTCCCTCGTTTGTACAACAGGGATGTTAATAATGGTACCCGTCTCATGGTTTGATGGGAGCATTCAGTGGCATCATGTACCAAATACCTGGCACATGTTAAATGTTAGCTGTTTTGTTGTTGTTGTTATTGACTAAGAGAAGAGAGATGATAGCTAAGTCATCAGCCTGCTAGCTCTAAGAAATTCTTCAAATACATATCCAGCTTTCCTCATAAATGAATTTTCTGGGAGTGGCAAGCATTAGAATTAACAAAGTTGAATATCTCTGTGCGTCTTACAGAAAAACTAGAATTAACCTGACTCTCCTCCTAAGAGAAGAGAAGTAAATATGTCTTAAGCTGTCGACGTTGAACCAGGAAGGAGCTTCAATTTCTGAAATTATACTACAGCTCTGCTATGCTCCTCTTTTCTTACAGAGTTTGTATTCCTGTACATTGAAAGTCAGCATTTCTCCCCCCAAAAATAAATATCACAATTGCCTTGGTTAGGATTCTGAGTTAGAAACTATCAGTTATATGCCAGCCTAAGAGACAAATGTAAGCTCACTTAAATTCCTGATTCAGGGTAGTCCAAATGCTATCCAAGGGATTGAGCTTATTAATCAAATTTATTTTTATTTAAAATAATTTAGCAACTCATTCAAAAATATTTATCTTTTCTGCTGTAAAACTGTAAAGCATTTGCAAATTGTTTCTAGTGTCAACAATCAGGTGCGGTTCTAAAGTATCTCTCAGTTAAGGCTGTTAGGCCTTCGATGAATGGCTCATAAAAGTGAGAAGCCCCAACCTGAAGAGAAATACATGTCCTATTCTTCCCACTGTGTGATGGCACTCCACGGTCATTCTGTGAAGTTGGCATTTTCATTCAGTTGCACCTATTAGATTTTTAAGGAGAGAAGCAGTGGAGGATGAAGGGAGTTACCATCGCAGTGTCCATACTGATTCCTAGAATCGTTTGAAGATTTAGGATCAGGACAATTCAGTAAGGAAAGGGCCCATTAGGTAAATTTCGCCCTGAAAATGCTAATTGAAAGTCCTCCTCGGCAATTCAGTCCTTTTCCCTCTTCCTTTCTTTAGTCGGCAGGGTCCCATGGTGACTGGTTCTGAAAGAAATCATCCCCTTCAGCAGCTACCTAGCACCATGGCAACCGGGACGTCAGCAAAGCAGGAGAGATCCCATACAAAACAGCTCCTACCAGGCTCCCTGCCTGTCTCTCTCATTCAGCCCTGACTGAGGCCTAGGGATGGGGCTAAAGACATCTAGACACACACACTCAAGAAATCCTGTATGTTTCTTTGGGTTTGCCTATGAGCATAGATATATGGACATACAGTAAACTACATTATGAGAATTTCCCCTTCTCCCAAAACGTGGAGCATATTTAAAGAGTGGGGATGGGTGGTGGAATAGGGACAAGGAGGTAGGCACAGGATGATCTTTGGGTTTAATGATATGTAAAACGTATATTTGTATTTAAAGGTAACAGTAAATTGAGGGTTGGGGAAGTTGGAGCCCTAAGTATATGGCCTGGTTTATATTTAGACACAGGACTTCGGGGAAATATTTTAAAAATATTTTTATTTACCTGAAAGTGAAATAGACAAATGGCTTTAATGAGCGCTGAGGGGCTGTAATGCTGTCCGTGGTGCTGAACATTCGATTGTCTCAGATGTGCCAAGGGGGCTCCAGAGGGAAGTTAGGAACACCTTGCCATGTTAGGGTACTGAAAATAAGAAAAAAAGAGAGGGACTGGGGAGAAAGCATCATTTCCCTTCCTACTGGGCAATTCTGAATGCTCAGGTTAAAACGTTCAGATGAAAAATAAAACAAAAAAAAAAAGCGGAGAAGGATGGAAGTTTGGGTGGTTGAATCTTTTCCTTTTCGTATGGAGATTTTTGGTCAGAGCCAATCAGGTTGGAGATTTCTGCTGCTTTGCTCCTGAAAGGAAAAGTGGGGGAAGGGAGAGAGAGAAGATGGCCACATTCTCCCTTTGAGCCACATGATCCATTTCCCATGTGACACATTCCAGAGCCTTGGAAAGGAGAAGGGAGGGGCACCAAGAGAGTGGGGCTGGGGGCGGAAAGATGGTTTAACAGTCAACCCTGCACAGCGTCATCTTGTCTTCCTACCAGGAAGCAGGCTATGAGCCAAGGGGAAGGCAGAGGACAGATATGAATGTGCTCCCGAGCTTCTCTGGTGGTTTATGGCATTCTCCAAACTCCTATGCAAGGGCTATTCCTGACCAAGAAGACCTAAGGAGACCATCTCTGAAATCAGGTCCGGATGAAGGTAGGTACTAAAGATCCCGCGGTATCGTGGCTGAAATTTGGCTCAGAGGAGATAATATCTTCTTTTTTCCAGGCAATTTGGAGATCTTATCCTGTCTTAGATCAAGGTTAGGGGCTTTAGATTTGTTGCAGGTCCAGAAAAAATGCCTAGGTAGTTCTGTAAAATGAATAATTCACCAGCATAAGTGCCTGTTGACGAAAAATTAGATGGAAATTATATATAGTGGTAATTAATGATAATTGATGAAAAGGATTGTTTTTTCTTTATTCTGGAAAAAGAAAAAGATAATATTACTGAAACCAACTAGGTTTTATTATCACTGCAATAAAATTTTGTTTCATCCTTTTTCAGCTGCTTATTCTGTGCCCATGTTCCCAGAGGTTATTGACAGTGGTTTAGGGAGCCTGAGCGGGCACACATGCTGTTTCTTTGTGCTGTGTGATTGTCTTCCTTCTGCTATTCCTAATACTTGGGGTGCTTGTGATTGTTTCCAGCTCTGGTTTAGGACAGTAGACTGCCACCAAATTCCAAATATTATAGAATAACTCCTAAGAAGGCCCCCAGGAAGTTCTCAAAAGGATCTTCCAAAGTTACAGGCTAAAATAGTCTGCCGTGCACTCAAATCTTGGTATCTTTGGCCCTTTCTACCCAGCACAAAGATGGGAGCTACCAAACTTAAGTTTTCTTTGGTCTTTATCTAACAAATAGTTATAAAGCTCTTGCTATGTGCAAGGCATCATTCTAAATCCAAACAGTCAGTCATTTAATCTTTCAAATAACCCTTGGAAGGAGGTATTATTACCACCCACATCGTAGAGATGAAGAAACTAAAGCACAGAGAAGTGAGGAAACTTTCCCAAGATCACACAGCTAGCAAAGAGTAGAAAGAGGATTTGGACCCAAGAAGCTTGACTCCAGAGCCCATAGTCTTAACCACTGAGCTACACTGCTTCCCTGTTGGTGTTATTTCAAATGATGTCAACAGTTGATTTGGCTACAAATTTTGTTCAGCTGATGTTACTGGAAGATTGAATCAGCTTGCCTGGCTAAAACAGATCCCCAGTGAAATCTTTATTTAATCTTGAATTATCCCAATAATCCCAATTATTGAATTATCCCAGTAATTACCCCAATAATCCCAATGGCCACATTCTGTACCCCCAGATAACCCAGTAAGTAATTACTTGTTCTTCTCCTCTCTTTGTGCTGTATAGATATCTGGTAGTAAAACACCGTGTTACTATGGTGACCAGATGATGTCTAAAGGAAAAAAAATCCAGAATTACATCATGGTTGATTTTTTTTTTTTAATCGAACCTAGAAACATTCTCTCATCCTCAAAACCTGGTAACAAGACCGGCCTAAGCATATTGTCTTTCAAAGCACTTACCTGGTTTTCAAAGTAAAGTAAATAGATTAAAAACTTCTAAAATTATGCACACAAACCATAACTCAAAGCAACCAGATTTATTCTTTTAAAATAATATCATCATACTTTAAAATAAGGAAATAGACCTCTTTGCAAATTATTTTAGGTTTTTAAAGGGAAAAAGAGGAAGTTTGCTTTTTTTAGCTTCTGGAAATTTCTGAGATATAAGGATTTCCTCCCTTTGGTCTGTGTAGTTTCCCTTCTGGCCCTTGACAATAAAAGATGACTGATCTCATTCTTATATGCTGTGGGAAAATTAAGAGAAGTTACTAGGTCTAAAGTACAAAGAGAAAGAAAAAGGATAGGGCTCTAAAACTTGTGAAATTCTTCATTAATGAGGTGTTTCCCTTGAGGGTTTCATTGAAAAATAATTTGAGGAGTAATTGTGTTTCCTACAATGTTAAACTTTAGTCCTTTAGAATAAGCCTTTGATCCCTGAGTAACACTTTTACTCTCTTATAGTCATCTGAAGTGAGCTTCTTGAGAGAAGGAACTATACCCTTCCATCTTTGGAATTCCACATCTTACTTAGCACCAGGCCTGCTTTGTGGTAAACTCTCAGTATACATTTGCAAATGCAAAATGGGAAGACTCAAGACTCTGACAGCATTCTGATGGAGCCAGTTTGGGGGCCCGTGCCTGTTTTGCTGTGTGTTCAGAGGAAGGATAGTGAGGAGGTAAATATGTAGGCAGAGAGAACTTGGCAACAGTTAAAACTGTGCCTGAAATTTATATATGCTAGTTAGATGACCCTGGAGCAGCAGCGAGCTAGAGTTCAAGAAGTATCCATAAAGTCTTTCCTGGGGATTACCAATCCCCCTGATGTTTTATTTATATTCAGAATGAAGTTCTCCTGATGTTTTTATTTATATCTAGATGGAGGCACCCCTAACAGTCTCATTTTCCTCTGACTGACACAGCTCCCAAAACTGCAGCAGCTCACGTTGGGTGGAGAGTGAATGTCTTGAAAAGGTCAATTCCCGCCCCACACAGGCCTCTCCTACTCAGTCGTGGCTCCCAGTGCCCAGAACACTGCACCAAGGGCTCACAGGGCTACAGAACTCCTCCCTAGGGAACCCTGGGATCTTCAGTGTCAGCATGAGTCGGAGCCAGACTGCCTTTCCCAAACCACGGCAGTTAGGACCTGAGGGAAAAAGATTGTCTCATGGAATCTTGAAAGCCTGCTTAGGATTTGAATTCAAGTTAACAGGCCGGCTAGGCTTAAAATAATCACCTTTCCTGATAATATACACAAACGTAACCTATTCTATTATTTTTTCCATCTCATTAAAGTATTGAGGAGAGGAACAGTAGGGTTTATGGATAAGGTGTGGGTCCTTGAATCTTCTCCATTCATCCTCCCTACCTCCAGTGTTAACTGCTGAGTGAGCTGTGCCAAAGAAACAGCCCTGCTGGAAGCAGAACAGCGGGCAGGTGCTGTGTGCCCTCCACACTCCTGCAGGACTTCTCGGACAGGCAGGGCTAGTGCACACAGAGGCTTAGACCTGGAAGCCTCACTGGGCTGCCTACTCCTCCCTCTCAAATCTGAAACGGGCCAACCTACTCTATCAGCTGAGCAGGAGAAGATAGAACAGAAAGAGAAGGTGGAGAGGCCTCCCCTTGCAGAGAGGCCTTGCCACATATGCTTTCAACCTGGAGGCTGGGTATGAGAGAGGACAGAAGAAGAGCGACAAAGAGCACGGTGGGAGGATGGGACAGAGTGATGCCTGGGTCCTGCCTTTCAGACACAGTAACTTGCCCGCTGCTAGTAAACCCTGCCAGATGAGCCAGGCCCTGCCAGTCCAGTGATGAAACCCTTTCCTATGGTGTATACGTAGGGAGGGGGAAGGAATAGAGAGAGGGATGAGACTGTGGTAAAGCTTCTCCTCCATGAGCCGAGGCAAAAAATGGGATGAAATGGGAGGTGGGCTCTCCAAGAGGAGAGGAGTTAGCATCATGAATATGTTTCCCTGTTTGTAGAGTCACTTCCCTTGGCTAACCTTTTTTTTTTTTTTTTTTTTTTTGAGGAAGATTAGCCCTGAGCTAACATCTGCTGCCCATCCTCCTCTTTTTGCTGAGGAAGACTGGCCCTGAGCTAACATCTGTGCCCATCTTCCTCTACTTTACATATGGGACACCTGCCACAGTGTGGCTTGACAAGCGGTGTGTAGGTGCGCACCCGGGATCCAAACTGGCGAACCCCAAGCCATCAAAGCAGAATGTGCGAACTTAACCACTGCGCCACCAGGCCGGCCCCTTGGTTAAACTTTTAAAGCAGCCATGTCCTGGAGCCCTTCATCCAGCAGACTTCCCTAGGCACTGGATATCTGTCATGTTTAATCATGAAAGAAACTCTATACTACGCATTATTAGCTTCAATCTCTGATCAGAAAAGTGAAGCTCAGAGAGATTAACTAACCTGCCCAAAGTCACACACAGCAAGTAGAGGCAGGATCTGAAACCAGGTCTTTCTAATTCTGTGCTCTTTCCACTCTATCACAAGTGAAGTTCTTTCCTCTACATTCTTTGAAATATGTATATATTTTGGATATTAGATGAATACAAATACAGGTCTAGAAAATTTGGAAAAGAGAAATATAAAAGTATAATGAAAATAAAAATCAGTCACGATCTTGTCACCTAGAAACAACCCCTGTTAACATTCTGATGTGTTTCTTGTCAGTCTTTTCAAGGCATATAATGAAAATGATGGCGAACATTTGTGAAGCCCTCGCTCTGTTGTAGACGTTGTTCTCAGCTCCTTTCTTGTGTCATTTATTTTATTCTCACAACAAATCAATAAGGCAGATGCTGCTATTATCCTAATTTTGCTGGTAAAGACACTCAATAAGCACAAAGACGTAGAGTAACTTGCCAGAGTCTACACAGGTAATAAGTGATTTGAAACCCAGGCAGGTTGGCATTAGAGCAGGGTTCTCAGCCTCAGCATGGCTGGGATTTTGGACCAGATACTTCTCTGTTGCGGGGAGCTTCCTCTTTGTTGTCGAATGTTTTAGCAGCATCCCTGGCCTCTACCTACCAGATGTCAGTAACACCCTCCTCCCCCAGTTTGACAGCGAAGAAAGTCTCCAGACATTGCCAATGTCCCCTGGGAGGCAAAATTACCTTTGAACCACTGCTCTAGGAGCCCATGCTCTCAAGCACTACGCTGTACAGCCTCTTCCTATTTAAAATGTACATCGGGTTATTTTCTTCTGCATTTAAAGAAGGAAATACACCTTCAAATTTGAGTGCAGGCTCTGAAAGCTTTCTGGAATGTAAATGACTTTATAAATCGTAGGTAGGAGATTAGCTACTTCTAGAAAAATGCTCAGTAGTAGACTTTTATAATAGGTAGGGGAGAATAACCGCATTTCTCTCTCTTATGACATTTTTCCTGGTCCTCTGAGTCAGGCCCCCTTAGCCTTCAAGCATTCGGGTCTCAGGTGTGCACTTCTGACAGAGCAGGGCAGTGCTTATCAACCAAAGTGTCAAAATGTGTCCCAAACAGTTGCAAATAATTGCTTGCTAGTAAATAAAGTACCAAAGTTTGCCAGTGACTTATTTTTAA